TCACTCTTTATCTAAAATCCCGGACGTGCCCCCATTGGTTACGTTCCCTACTGGGCTAGGGCAGGGGTCTGCAACCTTTTTGACCAAAAGAGTTATTTTGCTCCTTTTTCCCAAAACATTTTTTGTCTGGAGCCGCAAAACATATTTCATAGTTTTTTATTATTATATCAGACAAAAACTACAGTTTTTTTGCATTTATTAGGCTATTTATTACATGATATAAAACTGTTAACCTCTAATAAGAAACAAAGAACTCTTATAAGGAGAATTAAAAATAATACACAGGCCTACTTTAAAATAAATTAAACACAGCACTTGGGGAGTCCTCTGCACATTTCAAGGAAAATTAAAATGGGCCCACTTTGAAATAAATAAAACATATAGCTGCACCATAAAAAGAGTTAAAGGTAGGGTAGGTAAGAATGGAGAAACCAGCTCGAGTGCGCTAGAATTTGAAAGTACACAACCGGAGAAAATATGCCTCTTCCTTCAGACTTTCTTACAGAGTCCCTCCTCTAACACACACGAACGCGCACATGACCAATGAGGGCACAAGATAAGTTTGTGCACAGATGGAAGGCTGACAGGCAGTTAGGCCATCCAGTTATTTTACCCGGGCCGGCTCAGATGATTGGTCGTGCTTTTTACAGCGCTACGGCTTCCAGAGATTAATTTTTGTATGTATTTATTGTCAAAGCATTTAATATATTCATTGCTATCGGGACGTTAAGAGCATTCCATGGAATATAACAAAAAGTGTTTTCTGAAATAAATTACATACCCCATTGAATTATGACTGAAGATCGTCAGCTGTCTTCCTCTCCCTTGTTGTTCCTCGATACGTAAAGGCTGCACCACCGTTGACAACTTCTCTCTACATATCAAACATACCGGTAAACCAGCATCGTTTGCTGTGAAAGCATATAACTCTGTCCACACAGAATTAAATCCTGTGTTCCTCCGGTACTTTTCTTTGATTTATCCATAGTTCGCTCATCGAGCCGGGGGTCAGGTTATTCGCCTCCAAGAAAAGGCGCTCGCCCGTAGCAGGATGTGACGCATATTTTAGTTGACCTAATTAAAACCGTTTTGTTTTTTATTTATGTGTCACAGTATCACCTCAAAATACAAGATACGAAACATTTTCAACCATGCAACAAAATATAAATAGTCCTACAAATACTTTTATTTTATTTCCTTCTTATTTTTGTCTAAACTCAAGGGAGCCAGAGCAGAGGGCTTAAAGGGCCGCGGGTTGCCGACCCCTGGGCTAGGGGAACCAAAGGGAAGTAACAAAATATAAAATGACCGGGCGAGAGAAAAAGGAGAGAAAACGGATCTCTGAAGCCACAAATTTAGGTTTTAATAGACAAAAAGAAAACAGGCTCACCAGCCAAATTGTAAAGTAAACTAAGGTACCACTGTGTACAGGAACACAACTCCTAACAATTCACAAATATACAGGCCTCACACAGAGACCGAGACATGCTGCACACATGCAGCCAGAGGAGAAGGAGAGAGGCCACTGCAGCCTTCCTCAGGTCCTTTATTGAGGCCCTGATTGGGGATTGGGAGCACCTGGGGGAGAGGCTGCACCTGGAGACAATCAGGGAGAGAGAGAGAGACACACACCCAAAAGCACACACACACAAGCACCAACTGCGGCACGTAACAAACACATAAAAACAATAATTCAATAACGTGCTTTAACCACTAGGCGGTGCACACAAGGTACACACAGCCATAATAACTTTGTATTATTAGTGTAGGACACTTATGTATGTACAACATCTGAAGATGTGTAGTTTTATTCATGTTTTCACATAATTTTACAGCATATTGCTATATTATTTCAGACTGAGTATTTACATTCTAATATTCAAAGAAAATCAGTAATATCTTTAAAAACTACAAGTCCTTTTATATCAGCTGTGCACCGTTATGGTGTAAATATAACCTATCTATGAATTAGATCAAATGTAAAAGTCAGCCGAAATTAGTGTTGATACTGCAAGGAGACGTATTGTGTGAAGAGAAATTGAAGATGTTGTTTAATTGTTGATATATTTATGATCCACGTCAAGTATTCAGTTTCGGCGGCATTTCTTCCAGTTTGTCCAAAGGTCTTCTCATCAGGGCTCTATAAATAAAGAACTCCGGCAGATCTGTAATATGTAATGCAGCCGAACCGTGTATTACAATGCCGTTATGTGATGACTTTCAAAGAGAAAAGCAAGAACACTCGGAATAAAGTATTATTTTCTTTAAATGTTTTTCGGATTTCATATCGCATTAACACCATATCCCTACGTACATTGCGGCTAAAACATCCAAATCAGCGAGCTTAAACCATAGCTGAGGATCTTGGGTAATCAGTTCAGTGGCTGTGTATCGCAATGATGCTCGAAATGTCCCTTATAGGCCTACGTCTGTTTCCGGTTATTTTTATTTTGAAATTCAGTTCCTGACGGATGCCAAACAACCCCGAGATTATGGAATTAAACAAATAAATAAAAACAAGGATAATTGTGTGTTATTGGTGAGTAAATAACAGTGTGTTATTTAGAAAAGAATAACAAATTAGAAGGAAAAAAATATTTAAAAAAATACAGATTTCAGTATTTTGAGGCTCTGAACCCCATTTATTTTCCTCACAGATGACAAAAAAAGTCCGACACTATACGATTTAAAATAAAAACAATAATCATGGCTTGATATTGAGTAAGAAGATGTTTTTATGAACCCCACAGCTTCCGGTGTTCCAAGACCCGAACGGACAAAAAGACGTGCTGCAGGCACGAAACATACTACCAATAGAAATACATTGCTTTTAAAATCGTTCTGTGTGACACGAAAAAAATGGGAAAATCGTGTTGGTGAACACGAATCAATAGATTAAATGTCGTGACTATAACACGAAATGCCGTGAGACTGGGTTGCGCACTCACAACATCCTCACTCTGGGTTCGGGGGTCCTTAGCTATTAGCTTCACCTTAGCATGTGTTCTTTGCAGGTGTTTGTTGAGGTTTGACGTGGCAACCCAGTCTCACAAAAAAACGTGTAATAACTACATTGGTTCACAACGTAGGACGTAGTATTTCTACAAAAATGCCTCACCATTCAATTCCAATGGCTGGCGTATATGTCACGTGACCTTCAAATTTCTCCCTGCAGAAAAAAAAAACATGTCCGACATTCGTTTTATTCTCGGTGGAAAATGCCTATTTTAAGGTTAGTTAGTTCGGCCATTAAAATGCGTTTTGATGTCATTTGATGCGAGAAATATGAGTTGTTATTTCAGATTATGTGTGCAGTGGATGTACATGATCTTTAGTTTGCTAGTTATTACGAAGATTACTTCAGGAAATTGTGTCCATTCAACGTTTTCATTGTTACCAAGGTGGTTGCTATGGACGCTGCTATCGATATTATTTATTTTGTGTTGTGTAACTATTTAATGGTCTTATCTGTATTGCTACCCCCTTCCCCGTCAATTTATAGTGTTGGTCCACAGCGCAAACGTATTAGTTTAACAAAATCCGCATCTAAAATTGTGGCATAGTTATTTTCCCCTGTGCAATTCTCCATTTTCTCAACAATAACACGTAATTATCCTTGTGTTTATTTATTTGTTTGATTAATAAACACAAGTTGGAGTCCGTCAGGACCGAGCAGCTCATTTGCTTTAGAGAATATTACACCCGGAAGTAAGTATTCTCTCCGCTGCTCCATCTGTTTGTCATTGCTGGTGTCATTTTCTGGTTGCTAATAAAGGCCATTGTAACACATAAACACACATCAGAGCACAGTGGGCTCATGGGGGGGGGGGGGCAGGAGCTCCAACATGGCCGTTTAGGACAAAGAGTGAATACACATACTATAGAGATGCTGTGTGAGAAACCAATGTGAGTTTGAAACATTGAACAATGTAAATCTATTCTAGTAGACCTCAACAATGGAATTATGATCAGTAGAAATGACATGGGACCTTTTAAAGTGAATATTTATTTGTCATGAAAACAAATACAACGTAGGTCCACGATGATGAGGGAGAATTACCCTCCAGTCTGCAGCTACTTGTCAGGCTAATGGCTGCTCACAGCATCTCTGCTCACTCACACACACACACACACACACACACACACACACACACACACACACACACACACACACACACACACACACAATGTTTCACTGCAGCTCAGAGCAAAGAGTGTCATAACAGGAACAAGATGTTGCTCTGTTTCCATTTCAGATTTGGAGGCTAGTGCAGCAGTAACAGTAACATTATGTTTAGTGTTTAGGAAACATTCTGTCTCAAGAAGCGAAAATACAGATTTAATTAAAGTAAACGGGAAAGAATTATGTCTATCAAAATAATCTCAACTCAATGGGGACTTGCTAGTCTTTTTCCGCAGTTTTGATTTGCAAATCATGATCTTCAATATTTGTTTGAATATGAACTTAACTCTGTCTTAACTCACTATTTTTATAAAAATATTGTCACAATGTTATGCAATCTACAGGGCAGCTTATCAGTTTGTTTACTAACTAACAAGCTAGCTATTCATCGGTGATAGCCTGCATTGTTGAGTTGCTTAAGTTAACCAACCAAAGTCAAGTTTTTTAGATTTTGTAGAACAAAATTATGTAAATAAATATTCTATTGTTTGTTACTACTTCTCTAGCATGTACCTGTACTAATACACCCGTGTGACAATGACACTTTTGTTAGGCGTAAAAAAAAGCTTTTCAGAATCTAAAATGATTCAAGTAAGTCATAATACTTGAATAATAATTAATCTATTTTACAGAGGTGGTAATAGAAAAGTGAATATGTATCAAAGATCAAAATTGCCAGGAATGATGTTGATTAAAGCATTAGATATGTAGAGGCGTTAAGAATGTGTAATATTCACAAACTGTCATTTATCTTTTTGGTGGTTGTTGCTTTGGCTATATCCCGTCTGACTGACTGTGTGCTCTCTTCTCTGTGCAGGAACGTCAGTCTTGCAGGTGAGCGCCTCAGATGCAGACGATCCGACCTACGGGAACAGTGCCAAGATAGTTTACAGTGTCCTGCAGGGACAGCCCTTCTTCTCTGTGGACCCCAACACAGGTAGGACCTGCTTCTGCTTTCTAACTGCTGTGGAGGAGAAGTTCTGACATCTGAGCTGTGCTGTAAACACGCTGGTGATGGCAAAAGCCAGCAATATTCTGTTTAGGAAAACTGTTATGGAGGAGCTCTCCAGATAGTGTGTGATGATGCAGGTGGAGCCAGGCATGTTAGGGTCGGCCTCCAGCTGCACTATTATTATACATGGCGGGTGCACTAAGGGTTGTTTACATTATATAACTCAGTAAATATCAGGACCCCTGGTCATATGTTTTGTAGACGGAAATATTTTGTACTTTGTAAAGACTGATTCTCTCCATAGAATTACAACATCAACGTCATCGCAGAGCCGGTTTACTGCTGGTCAGGTGAATGCAGCTTTAGGCAAAGCAAGGCCATTTTATTTATAAAGCTCCTTTCAACACAAGGCCATTCAAAGGGCTTTACAAACATTCAAGACATTAAGAGCATTAAGAAGTAGTGCAGCGGAAACACATTATAAAATGGCATTCAAAAACAGTCATTAAAAAGCAAACAGAAGAAAATCAACATAAAACAAGCTGACATATGATACAGATATAAAATACATGGATACAAGTTACAGTGCAGTGTAAGATATGAACAGTTCAATGAATACAGCGGCAAAAAGAAAAGTCTTCAGCCTGGATTTAAAAGTAGTCAGAGTTGCAGCGGACCTGCAGGTTTCTGGGAGTTTGTTCCAGATGTTTGGAGCATAATAACTGAACGCTGCTTTACCATGTTTAGTTCTGACTCTGGGGACAGAAAGCTGACCAGTCCCTGAAGACCTGAGAGATCTGGATGGTTCATAATTTAGCAGGAGGTCAGAAATGTATTTTGGGCCTAAACCATTCAGTGCTTTATAAACCAGCAGCAGTATTTTGAAATCTATTCTTTGACACACAGGAAGCCAGTGTAAAGACTTCAGAACAGGAGTGATGTGATCCACTTTCTTAGTGTTAGTGAGGACTCGAGCAGCGGCGTTCTGAATCAGCTGCAGCTTCCTAATAGATTTTTTAGTGAGACCTGTGAAGACACCATTGCAGTAGTCCAGTCTACTGAAGATAAAAGCATGGACAAGTTTTTCCAAATCCTGCTGTGACATTAGTCTTTTAATCCTAGATATATTCTTTAGGTGATAGTAGGCTGATTTAGTAACAGTTTTAATGTGACTGTTGAAACTCAGGTCAGAGTCCATGACTACACCTAGATTTCTGGCTTTATCTGTTGTTTTGAACATTGCAGACTGAAGCTCAGCGCTAACTTTTATACGTTCTGCCTTGGCTCCAAAAACCATTACCTCAGTTTTATCTTTGTTTAATTGGAGAAAGTTCTGACACATCCAGTCATTGATTTGTTCAATGCACTTACTCAGTGTTTGAATTGGCACTATCAACAATATGTATGTGTCCAATGTTTTCCAACTAAATATTATTCCAACATTTTTCTACAAACAAAACTATGCTGTGGTTAGGAAATTCAAAAACTTTGATATTATCAAGAAAAAAAGGTTGTGGTTATGCTCATGGATAAGAATAAGGGAGTTGTTGTGAATGTCTTAAGATTTTTTAATAAAGAATTCATATAATAATACAAATAAAACCAGCTGCACAGGTTATGTAATGTTATATGGTTGAGCATGGATTGAAACTAGTCACTAATGAGTAGCATGAATTGCAGCACAGATTTCATTTGATAATTACTTGAGCCGTCTAAATTATGATATGTGATATCAGCAGTGGGAATTCCTTCGTGTTGCAGGTGTTTATAGTGCAGTGTCTTCACCTTTGTCCACGGGGACATCTTACATGACAAGATGTCAAGACACATGAAACACTGTGTCCCTGGTTGGTGGCTCTCAAGGGACTTGTTTTGGATGTCTTCAATAGCGTGGTGCCATGATGACGTATGTTTGCAGGCTGACCGGGATGTTAGTATCGCAATGGTTACTTCATCAAAAAGGAATATAATTGTTACATTGGATTTGGAAATATAACATCAAATAAAATCTAAGGCAACAACAGGTTTATGGTACTCACATGTACCCCCACCTTATCACCTGAATCTCTCTTATGCGGCTTTCACATCAGCGCTTTTCCCTTTCTAGCTCCGAGCGGGAGCTTTCCTGGTTCAGCTCCGGTTTGCCTTTTCTGCTCCCGCTCTGTTCACACCGCCCAGAGCTGTCGCTGCTGCGTCATGACGTCACCGTTTACGTGCCTGCTTCATAAAATCCAAACCGCGCGGAAATCCCTCACATCGACAACAACAACAATGGGCGATTGTATTGAAGCGCTGTTCGCTTTGGTTATCCTCTTACGAAACGAAATGGAAGGCATCGGACGACTTTACAAGGGACGACTTTACTTGGAACTTTACAAACAACACATGCGAAATGCAAGACTTCTTTGTGGTCTTCAGCATCTACTTCAACGACGAATCTGCCCCTGCCCCCGCCTCGACGTAAGAGAGACGTAAGCGACGCCGCCTCTTAGCTCCGAAGCTCTTGCCTCTAGACCGACAATTTTTTGGAGCTGGAAGTGAACCGGATTCCGGAGCTAAGAGGCGGCGCCTCTGCGGTGTGAACAGGAAAAAAACGGTACTTTTCAGCTCCAGCTCCGAGCCGGAGCTGGAGCTGAAAACGCGTTCGTTGCCCCTTTCACACCAGTGCTTTTTCAGCTCCGGCTCGGAGCTGGAGCCTGAAAAGCGCCGGTTTTTCCTGTTCACACCGCAGCGGCGCCGGCTCTTAGCTCCAGAATCCGGTTCACTTCCAGCTCCAAAAAATTGTCGGTCTAGAGGCAAGAGCTTCGGAGCTAAGAGGTGGCGTCGCTTACGTCTCTCTTACGTCGAGGCGTGCAGGAAACTAAACCCACCTCCCCTGAACATGGGTCGACTGTCATGCCTGCCTACAAGCAGTAGTGCTTATAAACACACTTTATAAAGTCAGGCAACACTAACCAGGCTTCGTGTGATTCTGTTTATTTGTACCTTACTTTGACCATCCGTTCACTGTTATTGATCATTGTGGAGAGAGGCAGACGTGTTGTTTTGTATTATAGCAGCTATCGGATGGAATCAATACATGGGCTGCACAGGTTGTCGTGTCCGACTATCACAAGTAGAATCATAATAAAAATACGCCGGTAAAATGTGCCTGTAGAAAACGGTTTATACCACAATATGATAGCAAGAGCAAGTAGTCAGTTTAGCTTCGGTTGCTATGCTAACATCACCCATTTTATACCAGAGAAACTTTCATAACAGCGTTGTGATACCACACAGCGTCAATTCAGACTGACACACATTCACTTAGGCTAAGGGGAACTGGGGATATGTATCAGCTGCTTGTGTGAGTCGGACAGTGAATACTTTAGAGCGGCCGCAGCAGTGTGAGCTAACCGGGAGCTAACGGAGGAGAATAAACTCCCGTGGAAGAGCAGCCAACACTGCTGCGGTCGGTAAATGCTGCAGAAACACATTAATAAACAATGAACCACGGCACTCTGGAGCAAAATATAAGGTTGGAGAAGTCGTTATTCAATTTATTCTGGCTTTGTGTGATTAAAAGCAACACGATCATCGACCCGACGCAGTTCCCCGTTGTTGTTGTTGTTGTTGTTGTTGTTGTTGTTGTTGTTGTTGTGAGCGCCGTAATGCCGTTGGGGAGCAAATCAGCTATGTAAACGGTGACGTCATGACGCAGCAGCGGCAGCACCAGTCGGGTGCTGGGCGGTGTGAACAGAGCGGGAGCAGAAAAGGGAAACCGGAGCTGAACCAGAAAAGCTCTAGCTCGGAGCTAGAAAGGGAAAAGCGCTGGTGTGAAAGCCGCACGTGTGAAAGGGGCACTAGAGCACCATTGTGTTCTTTGTAACCAAATCTCTCTCAGAGGGGCGTGGGGAGGGGCTCCTTATTTTCATCTACAGTAACAGACAGAGAATCAGCACTTTGGAAACAGGGCTGAAACAGAGGGGATTATGGGTAATACTGCAATGATCTGTTTGGTGTTTGGAGCCAAACACTTCAGAGACATGTTGTGTATCTGAGAACTATAATATATTGATGAAAAACAGTATAATAGGGGATCTTTAAGCCACTTTTATAATCTTTGAAGAGTAAATACAATTTTCAGGAGTAAAAAGCTAACGTTAGGCTATAAACACACTACAGCATGGTCACATGGTTGCACATCACCACCGCTAAGCTAAAGGCGGCACATTTTTGGCGGGATGGCGTTTAGTAGACATTTAGTCACTGAGAGGTTACTCAGTGGATAGTGTGATGGACTTCAAATCAGGGGGTCACAGGTTCAAACCCCACTGCAGTCAGCATGTCGTTGTGTCCCTGAGACACTTCACCCCAAATTGCTCCTGTGTGTCCACAGTATTGAGTATGTAAGTCGCTTTGGATAAAAGCGTCTAACAAGTGACATGTAATGTAATGTACTGTAATGTAATGTTAGCAACCGCCATTTTTATGACACATATGAGCTTCAGACAGTCACCAGTGGGGTATTTACTGTCAATTTTATGTCATAGAACAGACCGGGAAAATCTCTTCAGCTTTTGTAAACCACCGACCTTATTTCAGGCTTCTAACCAAAAGCATTTTCAAAAAGCCATTGACTTTGAGCTCACATGCTGACTCATAATCTAGTTTTCTGCACGACACCATTCTCTTTAACCCCTCATGTTGTGTCCTCTCTCTAGTGTCACTATCCACACACAGGGAACAGTGTCATTTGACTTTTACACATGTGATGTTGAGATTCATCAGTAAAAAGAGGTGCAGCCAGGTTGTAGGTGCTGCTTCTTTACATTGAACTGTACCGTTAATTACCCACCTATCCAGGAGTTGATGCTACATGGTTGGGTGGATGATGTGAAGCACATGATGAGCGTCGTTGAATTGGCACGGTAGCACTATAATCTGCATGGTTTTATGGATGAATACATTGAACTTTGGGCCTTTGAAGTCATAACACTGTCACT